ATATCAGTTGGCCAATTAATTTCTTTCTGTTTATAGTAGAGACGGGGTCTCGCTCTTGCTCAGGCTGGTTTTGAACTCCTGACCTTGAGCAATCCGCCCGCCTCGGCCTCCCAAGAGCTAGGATTACAGGCGTGAGCCACAGCGCCCGGCCTATGACTTCACTTTTAAAAGCCTATTTGGGTTGCAATATAAGAAACAACATTGACAAAAGAAATAAAGTATATGCTTTTCATAGCAAATTTGGAAAAGAGAAGAAAAGGGGAAGGAGTTTGCCAAGCATCCTGGGTTTTCCCAAATAATGTAACCTCTGTCAATACCTAAGTCACAGGGGAAAACATAGATAAGCAAAGTGAACCAGTGTGGACTTCCTGACCCAGTACGGACTCACCCCAACCTAAACCCCTGCTGCCCGCCCGTAATCTCTGCTCTGAATTGCAGCCGTAGGCCTATCGGTTAGGCCACCAGGGTTCCTCTGTCATACCTTCGGTTACTCATTTCACAGCTCCCCTCTCTCCTTCCTCCGGGCCAAGCTTCCCACACACAAGATGCCCATTCCAGCTGCAGTCGGGCTAATCGCCCACAGCTCTTCTTAAACTGCTGCTTGTTGCGATCACCAGTGACGAGTGCGGAATCCTACGAACACATGGCAGCCGTCGCCTCCCAGACCTTCTGCCACCTTCACCACCACTCTCGAGCATCCACATGCCCCTGGTTTCCCTCCCGTCTGCTTCTCTTGTGAACTGATTCCTTTCAGGTGACGCTCCCACCTCCCTAGCTAAATTCCTCAGTGGCTCCACTGCCTCCAGACTCTGAGCACAGCCGAAGCTACACACCTCCCCTTTCAGTCCAGTCCAGTCTCCAACTGCTTCATTATTTTTTTTTTTTTTTTTTTTTGAGACAGAGTCTCGCTTTGTTGCCCAGGCTAGAGTGAGTGCCGTGGCGTCAGCCTAGCTCACAGCAACCTCAAACTCCTAGGCTCAAGCAATCCTCCTGCCTCAGCCTCCCAAGTAGCTGGGACTACAGGCATGGCCACCATGCCCGGCTAATTTTTTTCTTTATATATTAGTTGGCCAATTAATTTTATTTCTATTATAGTAGAGACGCGGTCTCGCTCTTGCTCAGGCTGGTTTCCAACTCCTGACCTCAAGCAATCCGCTGCCTCGGCCTCCAGAGTGCTAGGATTACAGGCGTGAGCCACCGCGCCCGGCCTATTTTTTTTTTAATCTAAAAATTCTGCTACCATAAAACATGTCTACAGCATCATTTGTAAACAAAGACTGGAAAACAGTAGCCATTAGTAGGCTAACGTTCAACATTAGACAAATGATGGTACATATACCATGTTGGAATATTATGATGCCATTAAATCATGCTCACATTCATGATACAAGGTCAAGCATAAAGCAAGAGAATACATAATGCTTCAAACGATACACTCTCAGCTATATATGTAAAGAGAAAAAAACCACAGACAACAAAGAACATGCATCGAGTGTGAATAATGCCTCCAGAGCGTCTTCCCCCACTCCTTCATAACTTTTTCTGTACTTTTAAATATTTCTATAAGGAGCTTTAAACAAAAAAAAAAGTGAAGTCATAAACTAGGTCAGCCCTACAGATCAAGGCGCAACAGATGGGGCGTGGCCCCCGGCACTGTGGCCCAGGTTTGGAATGGCCGCTGTGGATGGGGGAGCTCATTTCTGTACCTGGTCTCCGAAGACTCTTCCCTTCCCTCAGAATCTAAAGCAGATCCCTCCAGCCTTCCGTCCCACCCTCCCAGCCTGGCCCGTGTCAGAGTCTCAACCACTCTCATCAGCAGGCTCCATTCCCTGGACCCTGGGCCTCCAGCTACGCTCCCTGGCCCACCTTCAATCCCGAGTCAGGCTCAGCGTCTGCAACTGCCATCCTGAAACCTGTGCAGCTGAACAGAGGAAAAGCACACACCTGAGTGAGTGCACCGGGACGACTACATGTTCATGGCTCCGACCCCTCTGTGCCTCAGTCCACCCGCAAGCAGGAAGAACTTCAACTCATTCGAGTGAAGTTTGGGAAATCATCTTATGTTTTCAGGAATATCAGGACTGCACTGGCCTATCTCAAGACATCGCACATCTTTCCTGTTTTTTAGGGTTCCTCCAGGGTCACCAGCAGCAGCCCAGTGATTTGATCTGCACTTTCTCTCAGCTCCCTTGCTTGTTCCCTCACCAGTGGGAGCTGGTCCACGGGAAATGCGGGTGGCAGGTAGAGCAGGGGGCTCCTGAGAGGCAGGGAGCCTCTGTGCCTCCTTAGATCCACAAGCAGGAGAAGTCAAACTATCAGAGTTCTCAATTGGATTTTGTTTTTTTTTTTGAGAGAGAGTCTCGCTTGTTGCCCAGGCTAGAGTGAGTGCCGTGGCGTCAGCCTAGCTCACAGCAACCTCAAACTCCTGGGCTCAAGCGATCCTCCTGCCTCAGCCTCCCGAGTAGCTGGGACTACAGGCACGCGCCACCATGCCCGGCTAATTTTATATATATGTATTAGTTGGCCAATTAATTTCTTTCTATTTTTATAGTAGAGACAGGGTCTTGCTCAGGCTGGTTTTGAACTCCTGATCTTGAGCGATCCTCCTGCCTCGGCCTCCCAGAGTGCTAGGATTACAGGCGTGAGCCACCTCGCCCAGCCTGGCAAACAGGGTTTCAAAAGTGCTTTTTAAATAAATAAAATAATGATAAACGGCTGGGCTGTTAAGTGTTCACAGGGTATAAAGTCACAGGTGGTTGTCAGGCAGGGAAGAGAAAAACAGCTGGTGTGTTCATTCTAGGCTCTGTGCGTGAGAGGAAGAAAGAGATTTACTTGAACTGTACATTTTTGGAGTCTCTGTGTACCCAGCTGATTGCAAAACCTGAGGACCTGGAGCTACTATGTTCTATACTAGATGAGTCCCATCTGGCTGGCTGTGGCAGGTGGTTCGAGCCCCTTGTCACAAATGTGAATCTGGCTCCCCACAGAATTCATGAGGACACCAGCCTTTTTATCATGTCGTTGTAAAAGGTTAGAACCTAACTTGCCTCAAAGCCGCCACGCTGGTCCCCAACCCTTTTTAGGTGCGGACGGGAGGCTGTAGGCCAGAGGCTGGAGCCACCAGGCAGCTGGGGCAGGGTTCTGAGCTCAGAGGCTTGTGTGAAGCAAGTTCTCTCCCCCAGCGAGGAGCAGGCGACTCCAGGCCCGGCCTGATTCTTCCCGCCTCCCGCCTCCCGCCCCCGCCTCCATCTGTGCGGAGACAATGAGGCCTTAGTCCCCTGGCCATGGAGGCTGCACGTCTGAAGAGCCTGTGACCTCACTTGTGCCTGGCAGCCTGGAGGGCGAACACAGTCTTCTTGTCCTCCCTGAGAAACGAGTGAGGGAGGCAGGCCTGGCCAGCCGGGAAGCCCTGCGTGGGCCCGCTGTGCCTGCCATCCCAGCCCTCCCGGCGGCCAGCTCTCGGACCGCACACGCTGCCGCTGCCACGGGCCAGGGCCGGGACTACGGTTCTGTGGGGTGCGCGGTGTCCACATACACTGACGTGGAAGCAGGATTTATTTTATCTCCTGGGGTCCGGCTGACGGCCATCACGCCTGTGGTCAGAGGCAAGGGTGCCCCTGGGAGTCCGCGAGACTTCTCGAGACCACCTGAGGGCGGCTGTGCAGGATCTGACCACACATGCATTGGTTTCTGGTGCAGATTTGTAGCTTCCGATAGCGGACAGCTCTGCTCGCCGGGTTCTGACTGTTAGCAAAGGCAGCATGATTCTGGTGATAATTAGAGGGGAAAACTGTTGTGCTTCTGTCTTCTTCCCAGGGGTAACCAATAGTAGGGGGTTGAAAAATCAATCCTTTGGGCCAGGCATGGTGGCTCATGCCTGTAATCCTAGCACTCTAGGAGGCAGAGGGGGAGGACTGAGCTCAGGAGTTCGAGACCAGCCTGAGCAAGAGTGAGATCCCGTCTCTACTAAAAATAGAAAGAAATTAATTAGCCAACTAAAAATATATAGAAAAAAATTAGCCGGGCATGGTGGTGCATGCCTATAGACCCAGCTACTCCAGAGGCTGAGGCAGAAGGGTTGCTTGAGCCCATAGGAGTTTGAGGTTGTTGTGAGCTAGGCTGCCACCATGGCACTACTAAAAATAGAAAGAAATTAGCTAGACAACTAAAAATACATAGAAAAAATTAGCTGGGCATAGTGGTGCAAGCCTATACTCCCAGCTACTCAGGAGGCTGAGGCAGGAGGATCATCGCTTGAGCCCAGGAGTTTGAGGTTGCTGTGAATTAGGCTGACAACACGGCACTCTAGCCTGGGCAACAGAGTGAGACTCTGTCTCTAAATAAATAAATAAATAAAAATAGAAAAATCAATCTTTTGATTTTTTTTTTTTTTGCTTAAGAAATATTAAGTAGTTACAAGACGAAAACCGTGGCTGTCACTCATTCTCAAGGCTCTATCCAGGCCGGGTGCGGTGGCTCACAACTGCAATCCTAGCACTCTGGGAGGCTGAGGCAGGAGGATTGCTTGAGCTCAGGAATTAGAGACCAGCCTGAGCAAGAGTGAGACCCCATCTCTACTAAAAATAGAAAAAATTAGCCGGGCGTGGTGTCGCATGCCTATAGTCCCAACTACTCGGGAGACTGAGGCAGGAGGGTTGCTGGAGCCCAGGAGTTTGAGGCTGTTGTGAGCTAGGCTGACGCCATGGCACTCTAGCCCAGGCAACAGAGTGAGACTCTGTCTCAAAGGAGAAAAAGGCTCTGTCCAGCTCTATCCATTCTGTGTGGAAGAATCTACCCATCCACCTGCTCCGCCTGGGCTGAGAACAGCTATGTCTGGAGTCTTGAAGCCACTTGCCTGGCCTCTTGGTTCAGATGAAGTGACAAGTCTCCCAGGAAAGAGCTGGTTAGATCAGGTGTATTTAAACACATCAGAAATGAGACTTTGTCATCCTTCTCCCTTGGTTTAAGTATTGGGCAGTTCATTTATTTTTCCATTCTGGCTTATTCATGAGATGCAGTCACTGTATTGATGACTTCCCACTAAATACAGCCCAGAAATTGAGGAACTCAGGAATGCTTTCTGGCTCCCATTATCTGGGCTGACTCCGCTTTTTCTTTCTAATTAGTCATCACAGGGGTGCCACTTGTGGCCGCAGGCTTTGCGCTAGGCACGAATGTCACTGAAGGCACTCAACCACGGGTTTTTTTGTTTGTTTTGAGACAAGGTCTCTCTCTGTTGCCCAAGCTGGAGGATGATCATAGCTCACTACAACCTCCAACTCCTGGCCTCAAGTGATCCTCCACCCTCGGCCTCCCAGAGTGCTAGGATTACAGGCGCGAGCTGCTGCGCCCATCCTCAACCCCACTTGCGCAGTAAGTAGTAATATGCCTATTTTGCATATAAGGAAACAAGTCAGAGAGGTTGCATAACGTGGTTTGGATCACAAAGCTAGTAAGTAGCAGAGCCCTAGATCTGATCTGTTCTTTTTCATCACATCACACAGAACCTCCTTTACCCAGGTCTTCGGAGGCGGCGGTGGGGACAGGGATTACGTAGGAGAAGGGAGCGATGGCTTAGCGGGGCAGCCAGCGGGTGGGGGAGGATTTCCATGTTCCCTCCCACAGGGGAAGAGCAGGGTGAGGGTTAGCAGGGAGGGCACACTCACGCTTTGCTAGGACTCTTCTCAGGATGGTCTGCAATTCAAAGGCAGAAACCTCTGCATCCTGCGGACAGGCGGGAGAGCAGGGTCACTGGCGCGCGGGCAGTTGCGCAGCGAGCGAGGGGGGCAGGGGCGGCCGGTCTGCCGTCGCATCAGGGCCGCTGCTGTCCCCAGGCCACTCCTGCAGTGGCGCCCGCACAGCTGGGCGTCAGACACAGTGCTCGAGTGCACCGTGTGCTTGGGTGCAGGCCCCCCCCCCCCCGTGTGCTGTAAACAGTGTAAGTAATAAATACTCTGCCCGGGTTTGTGGGCTTTCTGGATTCAGTTCTCTCATACTATTCCTCCTGGTCTTCTTCATCCTTTAAAATTCAAGTCTCAGGCTTCTTGTAAAACTGCTTACAACCGGCCGTCTCCAAGGACCAGCCCAGCCCCCCACGAAGCAGGCCCACTGCGCCAGGCTCCGCAGATGCGGCTCGGGCCCCGTTCCCGAGCGCATCTGTGTAACTGAGGCACAGGCGCCAGTGCTCAACACCAGGACTGGCCCTAGGCACTGCTGCCTTCGGCGGTGTGCGCGTGTCCTTCAGTCTGGGGAGAGGGCTCGGACGCCCCGGCCTTGGGACTCGAGCAGGGAGGAAGAGCGGGAGCAGACGGCCAGCTCAGCACGTGGACGAGCCCTGGCCGAGCGAAGGGCCCGGCGGAGCCGGCGGTGGACCTGGGGCGCAGACGCCCCGCACGGCCAGGGGGGTGGCTGCTTTTCGGAGTCGTTGGGAGAAAGAGGCTAAATAACTTCATAAGAAGCCTAAATGGCTGAGGGATTTTGTTAAGCTCGGGGACGTCTAATAGCATCTTGTAAGTTGCCTGCATCATTGCGATCTGAGACCCTTCCATCTCCCCAAGTATTTTGTGAAGATCAAGATTAGAGGCCTAGTTTCAGCCTCAGTGGGTGTGGGACAGAGAAAACGAGACAGCCACTGACTGAGCCCACGATCCCAAGGCAGGAGGAACACACGATCACAGTAGGCCCGGCAGCAGGCAGAGGTCTGGGCTGGGGTGCAGAGGTCTGGGGGTGTGTGCAGAGGTCTGGGGGTGGGGTGCAGAGGTCTGGGGGTGGGTTCAAGGTTCTGGGGGTGAGGTGCAGAGCTGGGGGTGCAGAGGTCTGGGGGTGGGTGCAGAGGTGCTGGGGTGATGTGCAAGGTCTGGGTGAGTGCAGAGGGGTCCTGGGGTGGGTTGCAGGAGGTCTGGTGGGGTGCAGAGGTCTGGGGGTGAGGTGCAGAGGTCTGGGGTGGTGGTGCAGGGTTGGGGTGGGGTGCAGAGGTCTGGGGGTGTTGCAGAGGTCTGGGGTGAGGTGCAAGGTCTAGGGGTGGGGTGCAGAGGTCGAGGTGGTGCAGAGGTCTGGGGGCTGGGGTGCAGAGTGCTGGGGTGTGTGCAGAGTCTTGGGTTGAGGTGCAGAGGTTGGGTTGATGTGCAGAGGTCTGCGGTGGTGCATGAGGTCTGGGTGGAGGTGCAGATCTGGGGTGGGTGAGATCTGAGGGGTGGGGTGCAGAGGTCTGGGGTTGAGGTGCAGAGGTCTGGGGGTGGGGGCAGAGGTCTGGTGGGGTGCAGAGGTCGGGGGTGAAGCGTGCAGAGTCTGGTTGGGTGCAGAGGTCTGGGGTGGGGTGCAGAGTCTGGGTGGGGTCAGAGGTCTGGGATAGAGGTGCAGAGGTTGGGGTTGAAGGTGCAGAGGTCTGGGGTGGGTTCAGAGGTCTGGGGTTGAGGTGGTGCAGAGGTCTGTGGTGAGGTGCAGAGGTCTGGGGGTGAGGTGCAGAGGTCTCAGGGTGGGGTGCAGAGGTCTGGGGGTGGGGTGCAGAGGTCTGGGGGTGAGGTGCAGAGGTCTGGGGGTGTGTGCAGAGGTCTGGGGGTGGGGTGCAGAGGTCTGGGCATGGGGTGCAGAGGTCTGGGAGTAGGGTGGCAAGACGTTTGAGCTGCACTTCTGAGTTACATTTGCCATTCCGCGTAGCTTTTGTCAGTTTGTTTCCTCTCCCCCTTTAAACTGAAGTCTCCTTGAAAACAAACACTGCCTCTCCCTGGCATGGAGCAGAGTGCAGGACACACCTAGGGGACACCTACCTCCCCTGCCAGCTGGCTGAACAGCCTCCGGAACCCATCGTCAATGTCCTCCTCGCTGATGTCGACCTGGAAGGTGAGGCACAGAGAGGAGGAGCGTCAGAGCGGAGAGGGCAGCAGCCCCTCCCCTGCCCGGCCCTCCTCCCGCTCTCTTGGGCCCGAATTCTGAGGTTATTGGGACTGAGATAATGGACAGTGTGAAGAATTAATGAAATAATTTTTTTTTGTTTTTGTTTTTGTTTTTTTTTTTTTTTGAGACAGAGTCTCGCTTTGTTACCCAGGCTAGAGTGAGTGCCGTGGTGTCAGCCTAGCTCACAGCAACCTCAAACTCCTGGGCTCAAGCGATCCTCCTGCCTCAGCCTCCCGAGTAGCTGGGACTATAGGCATGCGCCACCATGCCCGGCTAATTTTTCTATACACATTAGTTGGCCAATTAATTTATTTCTATTTATAGTAGAGACCGGGGTCTCGCTCTTGCTCAGGCTGGTTTCGAACTCCTGACCTCGAGCAAAATCCACCTGCCTCGGCCTCCCAGAGTGTTAGGATTACAGGCGTGAGTTATGTGGCGCCCGGCCCCACATAACTCTTTTGTTTTGGGGTTTTTTATTTCATTTTTTCAGCTAGACATCCAACTGAACCCAAATGGCCTTTTATGCCTTATTCTAGGGGGGACTCAGAAGCATAAGGCCCAGCGTGGGCGTTCTGATGGACGCTGACAGCGCAGTGCGCGCAGGCCGTGCTGGTGCAGGGCGTGTCGAGTTTCCGGCTCGCAGAGTCCAGGGCCTCCTAGCCCTTGGCATTGTTTCGCTCCTCTGCTTGGGCCCGCAGGACTGAGCGGGTGGGATTCAGGGAGTTGCAAGTACCTCCTCAAGGCTGGCCTCGACCTCGTCATCGACAGCTCTGGAACAGAAGGACACCGTGTGTTACTGCAGGCGGGCGGGCGAGAAGGAGGCGCTGCAGAGGTCTCTGCTAAGTGGAAGCGCAGCGCTAAATCCCGCAGGGGGCATTTCTTTGCACCCTACGTCTCTGTGATAGCGTACCCCTAAACACAGAAACAAGGGCGGATGTGATCTGAGGGGAGCGTCAGGACAAAACAGCTTGGGCAGTTTGCAGCCTTTCAGTTTTTGGTCTTTATCAAACCGCACTGCCTTCCCGTGCCGGGCGCCGCGCTCCACACAGCCTGCGCAGTCCCCGGCTTTCAGGGACAGCTTCTAAGTTCGGTTTAAACCCTCTTTGCCGTCGTAAAGTCACCATGCGACTTTCACTGAGAGTCGCGCAGTGTAGACCACCGCGTCCTATTCCGCGTCCGGCGGGGGGCGGCGTGGAGCCTGCGTGCAGTCTCGGTGCAGCTCGGGCAGCGGTGGGCCTGTCCTGTGCCGCCCTGTCCTGTGCACGCCTGCGGACAGGCCAGCCCCTTCTGCTCCACAGCGAGGGTGTGAGCTCGGGAGGTCTTCCCTGGGCCCTGTGATCTAAACAGGCGGCCCAGAGTCCTGTCTGCAGGGCCGGCACCTGGCAGGAGAAAGGAAAGGGGACCCCTGGGTGCTGACAGAGAATCTGGAGTAGAAGGGTTGACATCCTGGGACAAGGAAGTCAGCGTCTTTGTGGGGTGGGTGTTCCCCCGGGGTAGGCAGCTCCCCAGAGAGCTGAGGGGACTGAGGCTTCCCTGGGACAGGGAAGGAGGCTGGATTTGACAAAAGACGTGTCCTTCTAATGCCACTGGGTCATGGCCGTTTCCTTGTCAGTGAGGGCTAAGCTGGGCACACCAGGCTTCCTCCATGCACCCTGAGAGCTCAGTCGAGGAAAGCCCCCACGGCAGCCCAGTGAAGGCAGAGCCTGTCTGTAGCGGGGGGCTGTGGCCACGCTCTAGTGGCACTCCTGGTTCACGGCTGCCTGGCATTGTGTCCTCTCCCTCCCCACGGCGGCTATTTCTCTGTCCTGCATCGTCTGGAGCCAGGGCAAGTCCAGGCCTCTGCCTCCCACTGCCTCTTCCCCGCCAGGAGCCGGCAGGCAGGTGGCTGGCCCAGCCTGGTCCTTGTGACACACCCTGAGAGCTCTCTGGGGCTGATCACATGGCCCAAGGCCAGAGGGGTCATCCAGCCCCAGGGCCCTGGCACGTCCCTGGCTCCTGCAGTCCTGGAGCCTCCCCGTGGCCTTTCAGTGAATTTTCTTTGCGTAAACTGCCCAGTGTCGATTCTGCCTTTGCCAACCAAGTGCCCAACTGAATGCACGTGGTTGAGGCAGCAGCCAAAGTGGCAAATGCCACTGTGTATTGAGGTCACCTAACAGTGGCAGGAAACTGAGTTATCGGGACTTACACCGGCACTGCCACCTTTCTCCAGACGGTGGGACTCGTTCACAGGAGGTGGAACACAGGCCACTAAAGTGACAGTAACGGCTTGACAATTCAGAGACAGCTGTGAAACGAGATTCTGCAATTCACCCTACAACCACCCCTTTCCAACTGGAACTGTCCCGAGTGGCTTTTCCTTTGTTTCTCTGAATGTAACATTGAAAATCCTTGGAAACATCAACCCCCACACTGAGCCTTCCGGGCAGGCGGTGTCATGGAAAGAGAAAGTGACATTTGGAGGAGTTGAGAGCCCTCCAGGGACCAAGGCGCAGCACAGGGGACAGGGACGGGGACAGCTGGGGACAGAGGAGGCACCAAATGACCTACTGGTAGTCTGCTTTCTTTTCGGAGAAGACGCGGACGCAGAAATCGCCGTCCTTGTTGGGCTCGAAGGTGGAAGGCACGAGGATGTACTCGCCCGCAGGCAGCTTGAAGCGGTTGAGCACCTCCCGGAGGTTGATGAAGGTGGCCGAGCGCTCCCGGGCGCGAGTCGTCAGGAAGAACTTTTTGCTGAGGTGGATGTTGTTCTGCCCAGCTAACTGATGACCAAGAGAGAAAGAAGTGCAAGTAGAGGGAGCGGAAGGCTCCGAATAGGTGAGATAAAAGGATTACAGTGGCGATGTCTGGGTCACTTTAGATAGAAAGCAAACTTTCCACCGAAACCCACAAATGCCCCCTGGGGAACTGGCTCGGAGGCAGGAGCGGGGGAGTCCGCGCCTCCGAGCTCCTCATCAAAGCAGAGAGAGGAGCAGGGTGGCGAAGAGGGCCCAGCTGCTGACCCCAGTGTGGCCGCCAGAGCAGGCTGGGGCCAGAGCACACAACACAGACCCGCGGCTGGGACACGCGGCTCTGCGGTCCCTTCCTTAGCCACGGCTTCCTCCCAGGAGCACCAGGAGCGGCATCCAAAGCAGCCCGGCGCGCCCCCTTGCTACGAAAGCAACGCGCTTCCATGGGTGGAGTGCTCGTGGCTCTAGCTTAATGGCTGTGACCCTAAAGTCACTCGGCCACTGCTCATCCCAGCAGATCCAGTGGATTCTGCCTGTGGCCAAGCGCGCTCGCATCATCTAACTCATCCGGTGAGCTGGGCGGTTGACCAGTTTTACCGAAAGAGAAACTTAAGCACAGAGAAGGACGTGTGACACATCCGCGGTCACACAGCCTAGAAGAGGGGTCCCAGTCTCTTTCTCGGTGCTCTCACGCTGCCCAACAGTGCAGTCTGCAGGGTTCATCTTTTTCCCGGTTCAGGCTTGTTCCAAGAGCCACAGAGGACTCCAAAGAGCCTCCTGCAGTCCTAGGCTTGTGGGTGTCCACCCAGAACCAAAACCTGTAAGGCTCTGCCAGGTCACAGGGAGGCGCAAGCCCTACAGGGACTTCCCGGGATACCTTGCCCTGAGCTTGGACCAGCGAGATCTAGAACCCGAGCAACCTCAGCAGGGCTGGGAGGGGTGAGGACTCGTTCTTCACAGTCTGTCACCAGCCCTGCCCATACTTCATGACACGACCTGAGCACCAGGGGTCTAAGCCTCTTACGCGTGGCAGACCCAAGCCCCAGGGACAGGGCCAACGTGTGCCAGACGTACCTCCTCCGGAACCTGCAAAATAAAGGAGACACGATTCAGATTCCAGGAAAGCAGCATAATTAAATGTCATTACGCGCTCCTCTCCTTGGCCACCCCTTCTCTCTGCATTAGCAACATCAACGAGGTCAACAGAGTAATTGTTTTCCGAGGAACTCAAAGCATCTCCGCAGTGAAAGAAGTCCTCTTGTAACACGGCGACCGTGTGGACGAGCCCGCACACCGTTCCAGGTTTGTAGGGCATAGATCCGAGGCTCGAGGCTCGGAGAGGAGAGGCTACTTGGATGAGGTCACAGGCGGCTGCAGCGAAGCTCGCCCCGCCTCCCGCCCTCGAAAGGGGCCCGGCCTAGTCAGAGGATGTGGCCGGCCAGCTCTGGGAGCCACACCCTCTGCATTTCCCTCAGCAGGTCACCTCTCCTCTCTGGCCTCAGTTCCCTTATCTGGGAAATAGGGTCACTGAACAGTCGCCAGGGGCCTGCCCAACTCTGAAAGCCGAGACAGGATTTCCAAGCCCGAGGCGCGGTGGCTGGGGCTGGGGTGCTGTGTGTCTGCGCTCTCCTTGGGTCATTTCGTCTCCGATCTGAAGCCCTCAGCTCCTGCTTCAGAGACTGAGGGGTTTGGGCCTGTGCGCACTTTAACAGCCAATGGCATCTGCCCACCTGCATTTCTCAGGTGGGTGAACAGGTGTAAGGTCAGCGTCCCATGCACGGCCACCACAATGCCAGTGACAAGCGAGTGCTGAGAGCTTCTCCTTACACCTTGCCTGGGCTCCCCCGTGGAATGCCGGGAAACTGGCTCTTGATAGGCTGGAAGCCCTGACTTGCAGTATTTGCCATTTTCCATGGTGTAAACACTGCCCCCAAGGCTCTTTTCAAGCTGTCAGTGTCCCTCCCTGAACACTGGGCGGAGGGAGGAGCCAGCTCCGGCACTTCACGGGTGCCGCCCATCAGACCAAATGTACCCCAGTCCAGCTGCCCTGCAGTCTGCCTCCTGCCTTCCACTCCCACTGCCAGCCCAGGGCCCTGGAAAGTTCTGTGCTGCAGAGAGGGGTTGGGGGAGGTCGGGGCCCAGCAGGTCGGGTGCATTCTCGGTGCCCCAGGCCCAGCTCCAGCCGGCAGGGGGAGAGGAGAGGACAGTGGCCACCCCCTGGCTGTGGGCGAGCAGGTCTTTTCTTTAATCGGCTTGGAACGAAAGACAGACACGCGGGCAGTGGAGTGTCTGTGCAGGGAATGGGGCCTCAGCCAGCAGAGCCCAGGGGAAAGCACAGCGGCCAGTTGTTCCCCTGTCCCCGAGTCCCGGCACCGGACCAACGCCTTTGCCAGCTCTGACCAGCTGCGCCCATTGGCTCAGTCCTGTCCCCACACTATTTCCTGGCATGGTTCTTTGGTGTTGGGGCCAACCAGAACGCCAGGCCTGGAGGACGAGAGAAGGCGTGTGGAGGCCATTTGAGAATGCAGTTCCCAGTTCCCTGGGCGGCCGTGGTGCCCAGGAAGGTCTTGGCAGCGCCCCGAGCCCCAGGCCAGCGGTGGGGGCCGCCCCGTGTAAGCTGCTCCAACCTGGCCATGCCTGTGGCTTTGCCATTCCTTGGCCAAGCTCCCTGTCCACGATGGTTCCGCCCCTGGGGAGGGAGGTGGGCGCTCAGCCCTGCTCTGCCCGCACCTCATAGATGCCAAAGCCAATGGTGTGCATGTCCTCGCCCATCTTCCTCTGCCGCCGCCGGTGCTTCTGGATGAGCCCCACCAGGAAGGTGCAGCCGCTCTCCCCATCCTCCTGGTCCTCATCCTCCTCCTCCAGCTTGATCAGGTACTGAGGGTTCATCCAGAAAGTGTCTGCAGCCAGAGGGGGCAGAAGGCCAGCCCCAAGCAGGTGAGCCTGGGGCCGGGGAGAGGGGCTCCGGGGCAGTCCGGTCTGGGGCTGGGAGGCTGCAGGGAGGGGGAAGGGGAGGGGAGGTGGCAGGAGACAGTGGGAGGCGGAGGAGATGGTCAGACAGCAGGCAACGCGGAGATGGTGGGGCAGAGAACCAGGGCCGGTGGGGCCCAGTGCGTGTCTGGATCTCATGGAGTCTAAGTTAGAGCTCCCCCTTGCAGCTGTCTCTGGCCCTCAGACTGGGTTGTCTCGGGGACTGTTCTGTCACCCTGGGAGGCAGGCAGTGCCTTCCCTCCCTGGGCTCTAATGCAGAGGCCAGAGATGGGCCTGGCTGAGGGGACTCAGGTGTCTTCTCCCTACACAGAAGCCAGCCCCTACCCCCAGGGAGCCCAGAGGCCAGCATGTCCTGTGCACCAATTCAGCCTCTCGTTCTGTGTCCGTGACCTCAGGCCTATCCTCTCGCTCACCCCCAAGGTGCCTCTGCTCTCCTCACTTCCAAAACCCATTTACAGGAAGGATGTGAGATTCATTCATCATGTTAAGGGTGATTATGCTAATTGCTCCCCCATATCTAATGGGATAAAACTCTCAACTGTGGAATTAAAGGCATCATCTTGTGTACGGGGTGGCAGCTAGAACCCTGCAGGCTGGTTTTGTAAATAAAGTTTTTTTTTTTTAGAGTCTCGCTTTGTTGCCTAGGCTAGAGTGAGTGCCATGGCGTCAGCCTAGCTCACAGCAGCCTCAAACTCCAGAGCTTGAGCAATCCTCCTGCCTCAGCCTCCCGAGTAGCTGGGACTACAAGCATGCGCCACCATGCCCGGCTAATTTTTTCTATATATATTAGTTGGCCAATTAATTTCTTTCTATTTATAGTAGAGACGGGGTCTCGCTCTTGTTCAGGCTAGTTTCGAACTCCTGACCTTGAGCAATCCGCCCGCCTCGGCCTCCCAGAGTGCTAGGATTACAGGCGTGCGCCACCGCGCCCGGCCGTAAATAAAGTTTTATTGAACATAGCCACATCACTTGCTGAAGTATGGCTGCCTCTGGGCTGCAGCAGCAGAGCTGAGCAGTTGCTATAGGGACTGAATGGCCCACAAAGCCAAAGTGTTTCCCATCTGGCCCTTTAGAGAGAGTCTGCCAACCTTTGATCTAGGAGAGGTATTTTTGCCTTCCCAGCACCTCTGCAACCACCACATGGCACCTGCATACTTGAGGTAGAGGAATAAGTAATTTTATATAATATTTGTAATAATTTTGTGCATGAAATAAAGTTTTGACTGCGTTTTGACTGTGACCTGTCACATAATATCAGATTCAGAATTTTGCTCTTGTGGTGTCATACTGGGGCTCAGAAAGTTTTGGAGCATTTTAGATTGTGGACTTTCAGACTGGGAAGGCTCGGCCTGTATAGAAAGCACCCAGCACAGTTCTTGGCATCTGACATCTGCTTTATAACTGGCAGTTGTCATCATGATTGGGTAACTTCTGAGGGACTGAGCCATCAAGGCAGAAGAGCCAAAGGGGTCAGCAAAGGCTGGACCAGAGAAGAAGCCCTCACCCGTGTGAGCGGGCTGTTGTCTGCTGAGTGGGCGCGCACACGAGGGCTGCGGGGCGGCAAGGGGGCCTGCCCTGCACAGGCCCGGGCAGCGCAGTGGCTAAGCCTCCCCTGCAGCTCGGCTGCCTGGGTTTGGGGGTGGGTAAAGTAGCTCATGGGCGTGACCAGGCACTGAGCGCCGCCTCAGTGCGCATGCTGGGAGGCCACAGTGGGTGCCCGGGAGACTAGGCCTGGAGAGACCACCACAGAAATGGCAGGACCTGGATTCTACCTGGGTAGGACAGCAAATGAATGCAGGAGGCGACCGGGCTGAGAAAATAGAGAAGGTGTTGAGAAGAGGCTCAGGGAGAAGGAAGACAGAGAAGGTCCCAGGGAGTAGGAGCTGCCTCCTGGGGCTGCCAGGCTGGGGGACTGCACATCAGGGTGGGGTGTGGGGTGCCTTGGCCTCTGGTGGCCCCGCGGCAGCAGCCCTTACTCGGGTAGTTCCTGCAGCCCCCTGCGGTAGAGCCCCGCCTCCAGCTCCCATCCATCTTGGTGAGCTTCCACTTCTTATAGGCGTCGCTGGTGAGGGTGTCCGGGGTCAGGTTGCAGATCTCCAGGCGGGAATAGTGCCGCAGGAAGTCGCTGAAAGACATCCTGGCGAAAGCAGAGATACAGGTGTCCCAGGTTACAACAGGACACACTGGTGAACCTGGACCTTCCGCCAAGGCCAGGGCAGGAGCCAGGCAAGGCCAGGCAGAGCAGCATGTGGGGCCGAGCGGGCGGGCCGCAGGTCCAGAATCAGAAGGCCCGAATTCCAATCCTGGAGCTGCCACTTTCTAGTTGAGCGGCTTTCAGCAAGTTACCTAAACCTCGCTGAAGCTGAGAACTCGTCTGTAAAAATGCGATCCCTGAATCCCAATGAGACAACACACAGGCCCACCTGGCAAAGTGCACGCGTGCACACGTGCCGTGGTCTGAGTGGCGCGGGCACACAGGCGCTGCCTGCCACGACCGGCTTCTTCAGGGCTGGGTGAATCCACAAGAACTGGTGGGGGAAAGGCCCTACTTTTCCTTTGTTTCCTCTTGGGACCTGGACATTACTGAAGGAATTCCACTTAGCCTTTTTGGGAAGCGGCTCAGCTTATAAGCCCCTTGGTTGAGATGGACAAATTGAAGAGGTTTAAGAATTTTTAAAGTTCAAGGTCTTACAGTGAATTTATGTATTTTTTTGAGACAGAGTCTCACTCTGTTGCCCAGGCTAGAGTGAGTGCCGTGGCGTCAGCCTCGCTCACAGCAACCTCAAACTCCTGGGCCCAGGCGATCCTCCTGCCTCAGCCTCCCGAGTAGCTGGGACTATAGGCATGCGCCACCATGCCCGGCTAATTTTTTCTATTTTTAGTAGAGATGGGGTCTCGCTCCTATTCAGGCTGGTCTTGAACTTCTGAGCTCAAATGATCTGCATGCCTCGACCTCCCAGAGTGCTAGGGTTACAGGAGGGAGCCAATCGTGCTGCAGAGGCCTCAATGGGATACTCCTCATCAAATCTTCAGTTGCCCCTAAAAGAGTTGCCAGGTCCATCTCAATTTGGGTTGTGCTACTTCATCTCTGTCTGATGGGCTGTGTTCATTTAAAACAGCAGTTGTATTTGAAACAACGACAAAACCAGGATCCCACACCTCTGTGCTCTCGACATGGCAAACGCACTTCTGGCAGACATTCTTTTAGAGATTTTCTAGTAAAGAACACTGAGGCCCTGAAGCCTCTCCCAGTCTTACCAGAATTCCCCATCTTCGTGCCGTCTGGTCAGCCTTTCTCTCACCTCTGGGTCTACAGTGTTCCAGTTTGGGCAGCTGGAAAACAAAGCAATGAGAGATGCATCAGACATGCTGTGAGACAATGACTTCTCCAGTCTCCCCAGTGTTGGGGACAGAAACACCCACTCCCACCTCCGAGAGCCCAGACTCCAGGAAGGGGGAAAGTAGCCCACATCTGGCTAAGAGCTACACTTAAATACTCTTACAGCAGCAGTCCCCAACTGGTTTGGCACCAGGGACTGGTTTCATAGAAGACAATTTTTCCATGGACTGGGAGGTGGGGGATATCGTTTATTGTGCAGTCAAGCCTCTCTGCTAACGATCAACTGTATTTGCAGCCGCTGCCCAGCGCAGGCATCACCGGCTCACTCCACCTCCCATCCTCAGGCATCAGATTCTCGTAAGGAGACGCAACCTAGACCCCTCACGTGCACAGTTTACAGCAGGGTTCCCGCTCCTATGAGACTTAACGTCACTGCTGATCTGACAGGAGGCGGAGCTGCTGCGGTGATGTGAGCAATGGCAAGCCCAGCTGCGTGGAGTGGATGTAAATACAGAGGAAGCTTCCCTCAGTCGCCTGCCCACCGGTGGCTGCTCACTTCCTGCTGTGTGGCCTGGGGCTTGGGGACCACAGTCTTACAGCACTTTAAAAAGTATAGACAGAACACTATACAGATGCAGCCAAGGGGCAGGGCAAGAGGGCGAGTTATCCTGCAAGAGGGTGCCAAGGAAGAGTCCAGAAAATGAACACAGCCCATCAGACAGAGATGAAGTAGCACAACCCAAATTGAGATGGACCTGGCAACTCTTTTAGGGGCAACTGAAGATCTGATGAGGAGTATCCCATTGAGGCCTCTGCAGCTGAGCTGGCAGGAAGCCTTGGCAGGTGTCTCTCTGCCAGGGTTGCCTGGGAACAGGCCAGGGAAAAGGCGGGGCCGTAGGTGCTGGGCTGTGGAGGAATAGGAGCAAGCCACAAGAGATGCTGAAACGAGTTTCACCCCACATAGTTCAGGGTCCAACTGGCTTACAAGTAAACCCCGGAATCAACAGAGGGTATCTTTAGTCCTTGGCACAGAATTCACACCCTTGGAATGGAAGAAGTTCCTGGGGGGAGGCAGGGTGAATTTTTTCCCGAAGGCCCCTTAGAAGGTGAATTTGAGCTGGGCAGGGGATGAACCAGGAGGCAGTGAAAGGAATGAACGTCACAGGAGTGAGCCCTGGCTTGTACAAAGGCCCCAGATGCTGAAGTAGTGTCCTGGTTAAAAGAGCCTTCAAGGGGCTCCCGCACCCCAGGTCCCACTCAGCGTGGCCTGTGTCCCCGGGCCTTATTTTTCAGCACCACCGCAGGGCCTTCCTCTCTCTCCGCTCTGTCAGCAAAACGCACTCCGCCCAGGCCCCCCACACCTTGGTGCCCCTCACTTGTCATTCCACCTGCCCGTCCACTCCACTTCTCCCCAGGGATTTCGGATGCGGATCAGTTTCTGCAGGCTTCCGTTGCTCTCAACCTGCAGGGTTAGATCAACGGGAGGGAGAGGCTGAGTTCAAGCCAGGCCCGGAAGTGCTCAGGCCAAAGCCCCGTCAGCATGAGCCAAGAGGCGTGGGCCGAGGGCTGGGCCTGCGCATGAGAGACGGTCACAGAGGAGGAAGGGGCTTGACCCAGATCCTCAGAGCTGCCCAGCTTTGGAAAATGGGAATTAGAGTTCCCACAGTCCAGTTCTTGGAGGACGGGGCTCTTTAACCTTTGTCCTAAGCCTGGGGCATGAATATAGCTCATTCTAGCATCTGTGCCGCACTTTCCCTCTGAAACTCAGCTTAACTGACTAGAATAGGACGTACCTCTGTCCACATGAGCTCAGAGAAGCCCTACCACTTGTTGAAACAACACTGGCTGGAACAGGTGACTGAGTCCTGGATGAGGAGGGGTGCGGGGTGGGAAAGGACATTTGGGGCAACTGGGAAAATGTAAATATGGAGTTTATATTAGGTGATGTTACTGAATTAATGTTTATTTTCTTGGGCATGGCAATAGTAGTAGATTATGTAAGAGAAAGTTCTTATCTGTAGGCGATAAATGGTGAAGTATGTAGGACTGAGCATTACCCTATCTGCAACTTACTTTCAAATGACTCAAAATAAAAAAAAAGCACACACATAGATAAAGCAAATGTGGCAGAATGTTAACAACTGTTGAATCCAGAGGGTGTTCGGGTATTTGTTATACTATTCTTTCAACTTTTCTGTAGGCTTGAAATTTTTCACAATTAAAAAATGTGGGGGGGGGACGGGGAGGAGGGGAGCTAAAAAAAAAATCAAAGTTAAAACAAAAGAACACTGGACATGTCAGAAGACCTGGGTCTAGTTTGGGATTTGTAACTAACTTGGGCTACTTGATAAAACGTATAGTAGTAACAGCAAAGACAGCAGCCTGCTCACACACGATGTGCGGGGCGCGATCTGCGATTCACAAGTATTCACTCGACTGAATCGCCGCACCCTCACAAGGGATGTCATCGTTAATGGTGTTATTTCTATTTGAAACGTGAAACTAAGGGACAGAGTGCTAAGTAACTCGTCCAGGCCACACCACCGGCCAGCGGCAGACTTGAACACGGCACGACGCTTCAGTGGAAAAGCGTTCAAATGTGACAGCGCTTCGTGCTGCCCGGGTGAGCCCCGGCGCCCGGCGGGGGCGGGTCCGCCCGTCTGCTAATGGCCGACCTTCGCTCTGGGTAGCATCGCCCACAAAAGTCAGAAGGCACAGCCACGGAGCGGCGAGGTGGCGTTCGATGCTCTTGGCGATAACAATGGTCCTGGTCCCCTTCCTGGGCGTGCCCTCGCCGACCTTAAGACAGCTTGGGCCAGGAAAGGAGAACTAGAATGTCTCAGAAGCAAAGTTTACGATGAAAACATACTGCCAAAACCGGAGGCTTCCTACATCATCCCTCCCAGTTTGAGAGCGGCGGCGGTGGTGAGACAAGGAGTTCTCACCCTCTCCGCTCGGCGTCGTTGCGCGCGCCGCCCGCACTGTCCCTCCGCACTGTCCCCGCACTGTCCCCCCGTCCCGCCCCCGCACTGTCACCCACCGCCCCGCACAGGTTCCCCTGCGGACCTCGCGGGCTCCGGCCGTGCGCACTGCTCAGCCCCTACCTCCCGCGTGCCCGCGTCCCCCAGCCGTGACGTGCCCGCCCACACGCCCCAGCTACTAGCCCCACACACCGTGCCACCGCGCGCGCGCGACCACCCGCCCTTCCCATCCCCGTACACACGGCACCACACCCTCCCTACACACCTCACACCCTACAGCCCACCCCTGCATACCTTGCCATGCACCAGGACCCACACATCATACACCACAGCCATGTCCAGCCCACCGCCCTGTCCCCCGCCCTGTCGTCCCGCCCCCTCCGCCTGTCCCCGCCCCCGCACTGTCTCCCCCGTCCCCGCCCCCGCCACGTCCCGTCCATGCCCCCCGCACGTACCGTCCCGTCCGCCCGCACTGTCCGTGTCCCCGCCCCCCTCCGCACTGTCCCCCGCACTGTCCCCGTCCCCGCCCTGGCCGCTACTGTCCCCCCCCCGCACTGTCCACCGTCCCCGCCACCCCGCACTGTCCCTCCCCGCCCCACCCCCACCGTCCCCACCTCACGCGCCTCCCCTGCTCCCTCCGCCCCGCCGCTCCCCGAGCACCCCCT